CCCCCCCCCCCCCCTTTTAATTAATGAATGTAATTTTTTTATTGAACGAATGTAATTTTTTTAAATTAATGAATGTATTTCTTGTTCATGAATGTAATTTTTTTAATGGATAAAATTAAATAATTAAACTTCATTAATTTAATTTTAGAAGATGTGTATTTAAAATGTAAAAAATGAAAGTTTGAAGCCCCGAAGCTTCAAACTCATTTCCATTGAATTGGTGAGGTAAGTTAAAGCTGATGTGGCAGAGAAAAGAAGTTTGAAGCCCCGATTTGAAGCCCCGGGGCTTCAAAACCATTTCCAGTGCTCTAAGCCTTTTTTAGTTAGCCTTAACATCTAATTTAGTCTCGTCTGATTTAAAAAAAAGTAATAAGCTAAAAGAATAAATTGAACGGAATGTACCCTAATTTATTTTATCAATGGTCTTGCACTGGGTTTTTTCATGCTTGTAAGATGGTGGACATAGTTTAGTTAGTTGAGCAAATGGTGTCAAATGGATAAATTCGAGTTTGACTCTTGATAATTGTGTTGTGAGACAACTATGCTAATATAAACATAGGCTCTGCAAATATGAGGTGAATGCCACATTCTTTGTCGGTGATCTATTGTTATAACTCAATTTACCTCTTCTCAAGTGATTGTCCAGTCAATTTTGAAAAGGCGTCGAGATTGGGACACATCCTATTCACACATGTAATTTTTTTCCTCCACCACTAGACTTAAATATTTTTCCTTACTTTTGCACGGATACCATTTAGTTATCACGCAACACGAGGGAAAATATGACCTACAAAGGTGAGAGATGAGAGGGAAACAAATTCTCATAGTGCAAGAAAAATACGTTTCTGCACCTAAAAATGATGTCATTAATGTGGATGAGAGGGAAAAAGTAGAATGCAAACATGCATGAATCAAGTTGCGCTGCTAGTCTTTTTTGAATATGGAGTTGATGGGTATAACCCATTGGTACCACCTGGTAAGCTCACAGGCTCCCAGAAGGTACCGAAGTATGATCCCACCTGACCTCACCGACCCCGGTAATCTGACCGGGTGGATGTCAGGGGTCAAATCTATGGGATCGTGACTTCATTCGCAGAAGGCTTAAAGTCTAACCAGGCTTAGTCTCACCATCCCCGTTAATCTGACCGGGTGGATGTTGGGGGGTGAGACCAGTAAGATCATGACTTGAAAACTGCCTGGGAGGATGACTTGAAGATTGGTCGGCTTGAAGACGGCCCGGGTGGATGACTTAAAGTCTGTTCGGCTTGAAGAATGCCCAGGTGGATGACTTGAGATGAACAGTAGTGCTGAACAGTGTGTTTTCTATTGTTATAAATAGGAGTACGTGAAAGCCTCATAAAGGGAAAGACACAAAATAATCCACACAGCTTATAAACATGTAAACGGTCCCAACATTATTAATAACTAATCGGGTTACAGGTGTTCCCACCTACAACCCTTTCGCTTATTCAGACTTAGTACTCACGTTGATTTTACACCATCAAATTAGCTCCACCCATTGGACCTCTTTACAAAAAGAAGTCATGACGAACAACAATACGGAATCCATCATTTCCCAAATTTCCACCCTAGCACAGGGCGTTTCCCAGATCCCAGGAGAAATCACATCATTACCTTCTCTTTTCTCCCCATGATCACCACCTTCACTACTCAAACAACGCCCAGGCCCTCCAAAACTTTGGACAATTTATACCCATGTTCCAACAACCTAGGGGATTTACTCTTTTTATCCCTAGGATGTATCCCCATGCTCTAGCTTACAATACATCTCTTCCCAACACACTCGGGCATCCCCCACCGTTTCAACCGGCCAATACCACCCGACCAGATGGGCCAGGTCCATCTTTTCTCGGGCGAAACACTTTTCTTTTTCAAAAAGAATGGTGAGATGCATTAGACCAGGTAGATACAGCTCGGTTGTGGCCAAAGAGATTGAGAGTTCGAACAGTCGGGTTAAAGATAAAGGAAGAAAGTACAAAAAGGGAATAAGTACTCGGCCGGGTCAAAATCCTGCACCGAGCTGCTCAAGATCCCGTACAGCCCACGATGCTTTTGGTACTGATCGGTCCCAAACCCAAAGGTCCCAATGACATTAATCAATTGCTAGGACACTTGGAAGAATCGGATGCCGACCTTCCGGTCAGGAAGTGCCTGAGCAGCGAACTTCTCTGGTTCTTGCGCAGCCCAAGCAGCGGCAAGAACAGCCTCGTCGGAGCACTCCCTCTCCAGCTCAGCCCTTAGCCGGGCATTCTCCACCTCCAGCTGGCCCGTCCGCCCGACCTTTTCCTCCATCTCGGTGATCTTCCGCTAAGCTTGCTCATCCGACTCCTTGGTAGACTTGAGCAAGACCTTGTGCTTGGCGAAGAGACCGTGATAGGCTTCGACCTGTTCGACTAGCTTCTCCTTCATTTTCTTGGACGCCAACCGAGCTCTCTCTGCATCCTTCCGGGCAGCGACCATCATGGCCTCCATTCGGAGCTTCTCGTCCGTCCGAGACCTAACCGACCAGGTGGCCCACTCCCGCCCAATCCGGCCGATTTGCAAGAGAAAAATACGGGAGGGGCCTTGATTTATAAAAGGAACGTGCCGCTCAACAGGACCAATGGAAAAATGACACCGAGAAGATACTATAATTAGCAGTGATGATCTCTCGGGAAGGGGAAACGACACGACAAGTCGACAACTAGGCAGTGACGTACCGGTTTCCGTAAAATCTTTTCCGCCAACTTCACCTGGAAAATTCAAAATTATTCAACATTTGATTCCCGTCCTTGATAGTTCCCACAAAGCCAGGAATCAGAGGACTCCTTGATGGGTATAACCCATTGGTACCACTCGGTAAGCTCAGAGGCTCCCAAGAGGTACCGAAGTATGATCCCACTTGACCTCACCGACCCCGATAATCTGACCGGTCAATGTCAGGGGTCAGACCTGTGGGATCGTGACTTCATTCGCAGAAGGCTTAAAGTCTGACTAGGCTTGACCTCACCGTCCGCGTTAATCTGACCAGGTGGATGTTGGGGGTCAGACCGGTAAGATCATGACTTGAAAACTGTCTGGGTGGATGACTTGAAGACTGGTCGGCTTGAAGACTACCCGGGTGGATGACTTGAAGACTGTTCGGCTTGAAGACTGTCTGGGTGGATGACTTGAGATGAACAGTAGTGTTGAACAGTGTATTTTATATTATTATAAATAGGAGTACGTGAAAGCCTCATAAAGGGAAAGACACAAAATAATCTGCATGGCTTGTAAACTTGTAAACGGTCCCAACATTATTAATAACTAACCGGGTTACAGATTTTTCCACCTACAACCCTTTCGCTTATTCAGACTTAGCACTCACGTTGGTTTTACACCATCAAGAGTAATAAAACTAAGTCATTTGAAAATTATCGTCATAATTCAAGGAGCATAACATACTAGTACATGGTATTTTTTTCTTTACAAATATATGAATGAATCGGACGATGGATCAAGCAACATGTAAGAAAAAAATTTCACTCACATCTATTTATTTTGCCATCCATTCCATCAATAAATTATTTTTCGTTCATAGTTATTGAGTTTTATCAACTACTCTATAACATATCAAGTGGAGTAAATATCCACCAGATCATGTAGAGATTACATCCATTACTATATGGGCTAAATGAATACTCCTAATGACCTGACCTGTTTGAATAAGTATTAAGTGCTTGTTTTTCTATGTTTATAAGCTGGTCAAAATTGTATATAAGTAATTTTTAACTTATAAGTCAGCTGATGACATATTTTTGTGTGTGTATAAGCTGACTTATAAGCAGCTTATAAGCTAGAAAAAATAAGTAGGTCTTAGCTACTTATTTTTATGTCAGTTTTTTTCCGTTTTGACCAGATTAATTATAAAATTGTTCGTCATACTAATGAATATTTACAAATAGCTTATCTATCATTTATGTTATTATATTTCTACAAAATAATATTTAGCTTATAAACAAATTATAAATTAAAAGTTAGTTATCAACAATAAGCACAAGCATAGAGAAACATTTTTAACTTTAAAAGGAACGAAGAGACCCATTTGTATAGTGCTTTTTTTCAAAAGACTGGACCGGCCCGTCCCTACCGGTCCTTATGCTCATCTTCATACATTGATTAGAATAACAGTGGACTCCGAATTTCTGTTCGCTCCTCTACGCACATGGCCACCTCTACAGCAACGAACGCTGAAATCCCCATGAAAACCCTACCGGAGTCTCAACAATCAGGAACGGATGCATCTGAAGAACCTAACGCCGCCAACTCTCCTCCATCTAAGGTCGAATCCAAGGCGGCGGCCACCACCACGGTGGTCAACAACGTCGCCGGCGAAGCTTCCTTTGATATTCAAAAGAAAATTAAGCGCGCAGAGAGGTTCGGAGTGCCCGTACAACTGTCTGAAGAAGAAAAACGAAATTCGAGAGCTGAGAGGTACGAGTAATTACTGTACTGTGGTTTAGGGTTAGGGTTTTAGTTCCGTTTTTTTATTATTGAAAATTCGTTTATGTTTTCTTTTTCATTCCAATGAAACGAGATTGACTATCCCGTATAGACGTCTAAACCTTTAGGTTTACAAAAAAAGATTTTTAAAAAGTCACTGAGAGGGCAATTGTTACATTCAGCAGAAAGTAATAGTCTGTAAGGAAAGACTTCTCCTTCTAAGTTTTTTTTCATATGAATGTATTGCTAAACTTTTTGTGCATCTTTGTGTTGTGATATTGAATTACTAGTGAAAGAGAGTCCACCGACTCTGCGGTACATTTCACACCCCCTCCCTGTGTGTAGCTTCCACACAAAATAGTAAAAGAATGATAGTGACTCCATTATTTTTGTATGCAGATAACACCATCAAACATTTGAAAGTGAAGTAGTGAACCATGCCCTAAGTGTCCATATAAAAGTAATTAAATTCACTTGCAACACAGACCATGTAAAAGAGCATCATATCCAACTTTACTTGAGATGTTTCCACTTGCAAATCATAAACCCCCATTACCCCATAGGTGAAGAATTTATACTCCATCCGTCTCCAAATTAACTTGACACACACATAACTATGCTTGACTGAAGTTATTTTCAATTCATTTTCTTTAAATATTGGTGTAAAATTTTATAATAGAAGTTTATATTAAAAAGTTATATCAAAAGATCTACAAAACAAGTGATGACATTATTATATTATTTTAGCATATGATCAATGAAAATATGTAAGGAAAGAAGATACAGAATATTTTTTTACATATGAATAGCAACTTTAAAGTCCATTTGGTGATGGAGGGAGTATGTAGTATGGATTGAATGCATCTCTTAGATTGCAATAAGTTCTACTTCAGGTGCTTCCATAGCCCCTTTTTGTTGTAGCACTAGCACATGGATATGTCAATCTTGTACACTTTTGAATGTTGTACAATTTTACAATCATGCACTTCTAAATTGATTCAGATTGCATCCAGAAAAAAATTAAATTTAATGGAATCATACATACTCATATATAATAACATAAAACAATCACATAATCATAAAAAGTTTGTAGTGGTGATATTTTCAAATTTTGATGAATTTGTTCAATAGCAATGATATTGAATATGTCTGGAGATTCTTGTTCGCGTGATTTACGTAATGAAAATATAATGCATACTTCTTTTGAGACATCATATGTATAGTTTTATGGTATAAGTTGGGGTTTTAAAAAAATCGTGGAGTTTTCTATTTTCATTTTTGGGTAATGTTCAATATATTTTTACGTAAATTCTTACTATTTGCTATTTGTTCCACTGTTTAATTTTCAAAACCTTGAATCAATTCGATTCACAACTCAAATTTAACAACCTTGTGCTTTATTAATCTTTTACATGATGCAGGAAACCATGAAAGATTTGTTGACTGTTTTTTTTACCACTTGCATGCATTCAATATGTTATTTCATCTTTTATCGTGAATGCTTTCATCTCTCATTTACCTATTCTCCTGAACTATTGAGACGAGGAGATGGATCTCCAGCTTGAAGCATTCACACTAGAAGTTAAAATAATGAATTGAATGCGTGCAAGTGGGTGAAAGGCAAATCAATAAGGCTTTTTTACGGATGCTCTATGCACATTGCATATGCAGTCAATAAAGTAATCTGGTTCTCCTTTATGTGAGATAATGTGCATTTTATTTGTACCATATTTTTTATAAGCAAATTTTTTTTCTCCAAACACATTGCTATTCTTCCCTACAAGCACATGAATACTTCATTTCTGCCTAAATCATGCCCTCTCTAGTCCCCTTTTTTATTTCTTTTTTAATGGAAGAAGCTGGCATTTGCTCAAAATTAAAAACAAGTGGGTCCTATGATGTGATAGAGGCTTCGGTAGTTTTCTCTCCTTGAATATGAAAACACATGTATTACGTAAAGATCCATACATAATGGAGTAGAGCATGTATTTTAAAATGCATAGCAGTTGCACAAACATTTTTAATCATAGTAGACATTTGATGACTCTTTAAAAGTATAAATTAAATACTGATAGACATTTAAGGACTAAATATCTGAATTGAATATTTAATTATACCTGTATGCATTCTGATTGCACATAGTAGTTCCTCACTCATTTTTTGAAGTGGGACATAGAGTTGTATGTTATCCACAGGAAATGAATGGCTTGCAAAATGTCACAGCTGACTTCTTGACAATGCTAGTATATACTCTCTTTGTCCCAAAATAAAAGTAACATTTTCCTTTTTAGGTTGTCCCAAAGTGACCTTCACACTTAATATCATATTAACAAAGGGAATAGGTGGTTCACAACATTTGTCTTTCTTTTAAACAAATTCCAGCCACAGAATTTTCACTTTTCAACACTCATTTGAATGTCCGTGAAGTCAAAGTGTCAAATTGATACTATTATTTTGGGACAGGGGAAGTAAATGTTCAAGTTCTGTCATGTTTTTAAAAAGATAACATTAGACTAGCTAGATTGAAATGTTTCTCTTCATAGGATAAGGCATTTATCGACTGGCTAGCTTGAAATGTTTCTTTTCATGTATGCGACACAGCCTTTCATATTTACTTTAGCATAGTTCCGTAAACTTTTATTTCAGCCTGTCAGATTGGACCTGTCTTATTTCAGGTTTGGCATTGCTTCCTCGTCAGCGGGATCAAATTCATCAAATAAATCAGAGGAAGTAAAGAGGAAGGCTAGGGCAGAGAGGTCAGCTATATGTATCCTAGGCTCCATTCTAATGCAGGAAATAAGAATAAATAAGACGCTTTTAAAATCTCTTTCGTGAAAACTGATTCGCTTAGAAAACGTTTTCCTCTAAAAATAAGTTGTTCTTTGTGTAATATAGTGACATACTCCCTGTCCGTCCGTAAATGTTCTTCCCATTTGACTTTTTACGGTCTCCAAGATTGAACTTTGACCACTAATATATTTATTTATACATACATATATTTTATAAAAATTTGATATTTGAAAACTATATTTCAAAATGAATACATTCATGTTAAAGTTATATCATAATACAATATACTTTTTCCACATATCATAGTCAAAGTTTACAAACTATGACCAAGAAAAGTCAAGTGGGAAGAATATTTCCGGACGGAGGGAGTACAAAATAAAAGCAATCAGAAGAGCAACTCATTTTCCATGAACGTTCAGGAACCAGGGGCCATTTAGAATCCAAAACATACTAAGGAATGAAAACAAGTAGGAAAATTGAAATGCAATAAAATTTGGGGGGAAATAAAAGATAAAGTTCGAACTCCATAAATTTAAATTTCATTTTCAGTTCAAACCATTTTATAAATGAGGCAATTAGAATCCCCCCCCCCCCACACACACACACCTAGCTTTTCGGGATCTGAACACACCCTCAAAGAATCATGAAAAATATTATAAGGAGCCTTAGTATATGGTCACATTCCATTGTGTTTTTATGTAGTTGACATCTCTCATGCTTATAGGTTTGGGATAGAGAAAATTACCCCAGCAGATGAGGAAGCAAAGAAGAAGGCAAGGCTTGCGAGGTTTGCGGGAGTAACAAAGGTTGATCCTGTGGAGGAAGATAAAAAGAAAGCAAGAGCTCTCAGGTTATACAAATGCAAAACATTAGCTGCTTTATATCACTATGTGTTTATGCATAAACCAAACAGTCCCCCCCTCCCACACCCATACCCACACCCACGGAAATTATATAGGGAGGTTCAGGGCATGTTGAATAAATCCATGTATATTTCAGGTTTTCACAATCTCAATCTGATTCTGCATCACAAACGAATGGAAAGGAAAATGCTGAGGTAGAATTTTCTTTCAATTTACTAGTTTGTTCTCTGAATCCTATGTTGCTCATCCTAAATGTTTAATCACAGGGAACCACTGATTTAGGCAAGGCAGGAGGGACCTGAATTATGCAAGGTGCATTTCAAATTTAAGTTTTGCACTTTTGCTCTAACTATGAGACACCTATACATCTCTGCGGAATTCCAGTTATTGGATACCTTTTTTATTTTCAAATTGAACATCCTTACCTGTCCCTTCTATCCCTCACATATTTCTGTGAATTTTCCTTTTTTTTTTCCTTTTTTCCTTCTTTTCAGGCTAGCAGGTTATGAGACTGGGATCTCGCAAGCTCGACCAGTAACCTTTCATTACAACAAGGCGTGTGTTTCTGTACTTATCCAACGCTAGAAAAGTTTTCTTAAGTACTGCGTATGTTTTTTGCTCTACCTGTTTACATACAAGATATATTTTGGTGGTGACTGGTGATCCCTTGTACTGTTGTAAGCAACCTCCTTAGCATGTGTACTTTATCAAATGGCCAGTGAACAATGTCAAAAAGGAAAACTAAACTGCAGGCTGAAAATTTTGTAGATTAAGCAAATATCGCTTTTATTTCCTTAATATTAGGTGCTAGAAATCTGATGCATGTGTAGTGTGCTGCTAAAATGAGATATGTGCATGAAAGATACTGAGAATGGTTTTGAACTTGCATAGCTTTGGACCTTATTCTTAGGTATAAAATCATCTCAAATGAAAGGTTTCTTTAGTGATGGATGAGTTATTTGCAAGCAAGTATAAAATAAAAAAAAGTACGTTTTTATTGCATTAGTATATCAAGTAGGATTTACTTTCTAGTTGCACCCGTTGATCTTTTCTTCTTTCAACATGAGAACAATGATATTTATTCCGTCGCGAATCTGCATACAGTATTATTATGACTTGTTCCAATATGTTATTCTTAGAAGTGGATGGGAAACGATGAATTTACGCTCGTCTTGTGTGGTCGATGATTGGTAGATCTTTACCTAGTCTTTTATGTTAGGATTTGACATTGTGAAATGGCCATTTTGAAACAACTTGATGCTAAGGAGGTGGTTTTTGACTGGCTGGGATCATTGGATATCAACTGTGTTATTGTATGTACTTGGAAAGATTTTCTTGTAATGTTTTGGTCGAGTTATACTGTTCGAGAAATGTATGTGAACTTGGTGCATTCTCCACTCTGCTTCATTGCCTTTGAAAATGTTCCTTGTACTGTGCTATACGGGGTTTAGGGCTGTTTGAGTTTTTGCCTTTCCGGTGCATTTCGTTTGGATTCATGGAAAAGTTAGATTCTAAATTTTAGAACAAAGTATTTTTTTAAAACCATATTACCATGTAGAATAAAAAAAAAAGTACGTAGTAGTTTTTATGCTATTACCGTGTATGTAATAATCAAATAAATACCTTATTTTAGTTACTTATAGAGACACCAATAAATACCACAAATTATAGCACACGCCAATAATTACCATAAATTAAACCATAAATACTCGGTATATTAATCAGGTAAGTTTTGAAAATGTCAATGAAAAGTTTATCACGTTCCTCCTCATGTTAAGGAGCCTGAATAATTGGATGTAATTTTCATGATTCAAAAGTTAGTTCTTTCATTAATATGAATTTAAAATACGTATACATTAACAATGTTGTAATGATGGTAATATATACTTTTTTCCTTTGCATTATTAGGGAGATCAAATACAAGTGCATGTCAGAGATTCAAACATACATACTTCCAAAGAAGATTTGAAAGAAAATAATGTTTATTTACTGATGAGAGTCAAAGTACTGCACAATTACCAAATAACGAAACTACCAATCACCCTTTCATGCTACAATTCTTTAGCAAGACGGAGCTTCAAAAGCTTTTGTATAACGGATTTCGCAATTTTCGTGCTTTTAGAGTACCAAATCATGAATTAACTTTGAAATAGACACACCTATTATGTTGTTGAGAAATATTGATCATTCATTAGATTTATGTAATAGTACATGGTTGATAGTAACTTGGTTGGCTAATCACTCAATACAAGGAAAGATATTATCTTGAAGACCCATGAGTGAAGAATTCGTTATTCCAAGACTATCATTGACACATCTGATAGAAGAATTCTATTCAACTTTCAAATAGGACACCTTCGTACGCAATGATGATTAACAAGAGTCATGGACAATCTCAGAAATATGTTGGATTATTGTTACAGAAACTAGTATTTAGTTATGGACAACTCTATTTTGTAGTTTCAAGAGTAACAAATTGTAGTGGCTTGAAGATTATGATATGCAACGAAGACAACATTCTCTCTAATTGTATGAATAATGTAGTTTATTTAGAAATCTTTCAAAATTTGTAAAACAAAAATACTTTTGTACCATAAAATAATAAAATCTCTCTATTCTTTTAGATATCATTTCGTATCATTCAAAAATGATACTCCATATTAATTTATTACTGCACATATGACCCGTGCAATGTTCAGGTATGATACTAGTTTACATCAAAATATAAACTAAGGATATGCTCTAATATTTTGATAGTTCACAGTAACACAGTATGTTAGTGCGATCAGAAAATTTTGAAGTACAATTTTCTGAATGTATGAACTTGGGATGTCCTCAAAATTAAGGGGGGTTATTCAATCTAGATTTTGTAGTATTTTTTGGATTTCAAAAGTATGTGGATATTCAATCTAGATTTTAAAAAATTACTTAAAATCTAGATTTATTCAATTCAGATTTTAAAATATTCTTCTAAATCTATTGGTATTCAAAAATTAATAGATTTTAAAAGATTTTTATAAAATATGGATTTTGATGGATTTTGGGTTTTGGGTATAAATTGATATCTAAGTCCAGAATCTGACAAAAAATGTAAAGATTTTGCAACTCCACGCAAAATCTGTGTCTTCTTCAACCTTCGAAGAATTTGCCTTTGACCAATATAAAGAAGAACAAAAATAATTGTCAGAAGGACAAAAATGGAAAAATCATCCCGGTACCATGGCATGCCTTTGCTCAACTTGGTTGAAATGCTAGCCGGCGATTTCCCTGGCATTCGTTTCTCATTCTTAAGCACTCCCCGGTCCAACACCTCTCTGTTCAAGCCGGACGCCGGCGGCGAATGCAACATCAAGGCGTACGACATGTGGGATGGGGCGGCGAAAGGGACGACATTGCTTCCAGGATGGGAGACCACCATGAGATTCGTGGCGGCGATGCCAGCCAGACGAGAGAGCGGTTGATAGGGGTGAGCGTGGTACGATATGATACCGTATCTAGCTCGTACAGATACCGTACCAAATATTTCGGTTCGGTATGGGATTCTACTAGGGATGGCAATTTTATCCGAATCCGACTTTTTCCGACCCGATCGATGTATATAATATCCGAATCCGACCGAAAAAATAAATATCCGAAACCGACCCGAAGATTTTAAAACCGAACCCGACTTTTGTCGGGTCGGTTTTCGGTAATTAAATTTGATCGACCCGACCCGTACCCGACCGACCCGATAATTAATCCGAAATAAAAGGTCTTTTTAAAATATAAAAAAAACCTTTTTCAATTAAAAGTCTTTGGCTTACGGGAGTTACCAGTTATAGACATGAAAAATATTTGTGAAAACTTGTTATATTTATGTGTGTTGTTTCTCTTGTGAAATATTTGTGAAAACTTGTTATACTTCCATGTTTTGGTTATTATTTTGGACACATCTTTTTTAATATCTTAATTTTACGATATCTTTGAACGTTCAAATGTTTTTATGTATTGGAATTCTAATTATATCATTACATGCATTTATTATTTTATCATTATTTTAATAAAAATCATTACAAAAAACTGATTTATTAGGATATTGGTATGGTCAGTCGGTCGGGTCAGTCGGGTCGGTCGGTTTTCAGGTCGGGTTAGGCTTAGGTTTTTGTCAAATTCTCGGGTTCGGTTGCGGTTTCGGGTTTCGGTTTAGGCAGTCGGGTTCGGGTAGAAATTTATACCCGACCGTTCGGGTTCAGGCAAAAAAAAATATCCGATCAAAATTTCGGGTCGGTTTCGGGTAGGGGTATATCCGAACCGAACCCGACCTGTTGCCATCCCTAGATTCTACGTTATACTGATCCCGTTCCCGAAGCATCGGTTCGGTATGGTTCGGGATGGTTCGGTATCGGTTTCGGTACGAATCGGGATGAATATATACATACCTAGTTTACATCATAAAATGTGACAAAACCTTTTATATTTGAAAATCGAATGTATATTTAACCAAAGAAAGATAAAAATGTAAAAATGAAAAAATAAAATGCAAGAAATGCTTATGAAAGTTAGTTTATATTTCACAAACTAAAGAGAACGAATGATAACAAAGTATTATTTCAAATATTTGTTAATATTCTTATACTCATCTACAAAAAATAAAAAAGTCTTATTAAAGTGCACCTTAAACATAATGAAATTATACTAAATTGTCTATATAAATTTTTTATTTAATGAAGAAATATAAAAAGATTATTATTTTATAATATATTAGTATATATGTTTGGTTCGGGAATTTTGGTATGGGAAGTAACATCGTACCGTTCCCAAATACCGGACCGACCGTTCGGTTCGGTATGATTCGGTTTTTTTTCGGTACTTTATCGGTTCGGTGTTTTTCGGTTTGGTATTCTCGGTTTTTTCGGGAAATATCGAGACCGGTTCGGTCTTTGTTCACCCTAGCGGTTGAGGAAGCAATAGTGGCGGTGGCTCGGCGAGGAAAGAAAGGAGATCGGAGAATAGAGACGGCTTGGCAAGAAGGAAGAAAAGAGAAAAGGAAAAAAAGGGAAAAAAATAAAAACATAATCCATAAATTATAAACAAATTTTCATAATCTTATAAAATACTAATGATAAAATACATTAAAATCTATCTAATTCTGCTCAGATTTAAAAAAAAATGCATTGAGTTTACACAATCTATAGATTTTAAACCATCTATCCTACTCCCTCCGTCCTATAATGATCTTCCCGGTTCGCAAAACGAAGAAAAATCCCAAGTTTTTTCAATCTATTTTATTTAAATATTGGTATAGAAATAAAAAATAAAACATATATATTTAAAAACTACACCAAAAGTTCAACAAAACAAGTGGTGACAAGAATATTTTATTTTATCATATAGGCCATGAAAAAACACAAATAAATATAAATTCCCGTAAAGTTGAAATAGTGCTCTGGGAAGATCATTATAGGACGGAGGGAGTAATATTTTAGAATTTAGATTAAATACACTCCTGAATTTCGGGATACAAAATATAGCTTAATTGACATACCCAGGAGTATTTGTTTCTGGTTCTGAACTCGGAGGTCATTTTTTCCTTTTGTTGCAGAGGAACCTTGCACTCAGTGTTCTTCTTACCTGCCTCCGGCGGAGAAGCGTCGCGGCTGTGTCAGACTGTCATCGTCCCTCGTCTTCTCCCTAGATGATCAGCCGAATAAGCATTACTTCGAGACCCAGTTTCCATTCCTTCACCCGTTTCTCATCGTCGGCTACATCTCTGGATCTACGGAATTGCGTAGCATCTCTCCAAGCATGTGCGAAGCAGAGGAATCTCAAACCCGGCCGACAACTCCACGCCTTCATGCTGGTGTCTGGACTTGTGAATTCCTCCCCAATCTGCATCACCAGCCTTGTAAACATGTACTCCAAGTGCAATCCCAACTCCATGTCTGATGCTCTCTCTGTGTTCTCCACATCACCTCCTCAGTCCCGCAACGTGTTCGTTTACAATGCCCTTATTTCTGGCTTTTTCGCTCATGATTCCCCCAAGGAAGTTCTTCAGATTTACCCTGAAATGAGAATACTTGGACTGGTTCCGGATAAGTTCACTTTCCCCTGCGTGATTAAGGCGGCTTCTTCTTGTAAACAAATTTTATGTATGAAAAATATTCATGGTTTAGTGTTTAAGCTCGGGTTAGAGTTCGATTCGTTTATAGGCAGTGCATTGGTGCACTCTTACTTGACATTTGGCTTGACAGAGGACGCAGAGGAAGTGTTCGATGAATTGCCTGTAAGAGATGATGTTGTTCTTTGGAATGCTATGATTAATGGGTATTCCCAGTCTGGAAAATTTGACAGAGCGGTGGAGGTTTTTACCCGGATGACTGATGATGACGTTTCACCCAATAGATTTACAATTACTGGTGTCTTGTCAGCTCTTTCA